GAAAGAAAGAAAGAAGGAAAACGGAAGGAGAAAGAAAGTAAGAAAGAAAGAAGGAAGAAAGAAAGAAAGAAAGAAAGAAGGAAAGAAAACGGAAGGAGAAAGAAAGAAAGAAAGAAAGAAGGAAGAAAGAAGAAACTAAAAAGGAAGATAGAAAGAAGGAAGAAAGAATAAAGAAAGGAAGAAGAAAGAAATAAAGAACGAAATATAGATAAAAAAAATCAAGAGACAAAATAAAGTTGAAATTAAGAAAGAAATAGACAAGAAAGAAAGAAAGAAAAAGAAAAAAGAAAAAAAGAAGAAAGAAGGAAAGAAAGAAAAAAGAAAGAAAAAAGAAAGAAAGGAAAGATGAATATAGAAAGAAAGAAAAAATAAAAGAAAGGAAGAAAAAAAAGAAAGCTTCCATTCATACAGGCGCACCCTACTTAGCACAATGAATTCTTTAGAATTTTACTTTGTTGAAGACAAATTCGCGTTAATTTATTAATCGGATCAGTGGGAATTGTGACAATTTACCTCCATCTTGTTCAGGAAAAAAAGAAATAGTTTTTTAAAGGATCTTTTCGCCGAATGTAATATCAAAATCATTAAGGTTAATAAAAATAATGGCGGCATTTGGATTTATTCCATAACAAGTTTAAGCGCGCCATCAAGATATCAAGGTCATATTTTTATGTACAGGGTGTCCGTAAAGTTTCGTGTGCACTTTAAAAAAATTATAACTTTATTTGTATTTGCGATAGAAATAATCTGTAAAAAATGCTATAAAGTTTAATGCACCTAGTTTTAAGTATAGCTAAAATAACTAATGTGATTTCAGGCATTACTGTAAATCAGTTGGCAAATGTTTTCCGTGAACTGCAAAATCGTATTACCCTTTGTATTGCTAATGATGGAGGATATGTGGAAACTTAAATAAAATTTCAATAAAACCTTAAAAAACATAGATTTACTTCTTTCTAATCCTTTTTTATAAATTATTTCTATCGCAAATAGAAATAAAGTTATAAATTTTTTAAAGTGCACACGAACTTTATGGACACCCTATAGGTAAAATTTGTGTATATATATATATACATATTATTAAAAATAATTAATTTGTGTGTTGGAAATCTGAATTTCTTTCTTGAAAGAAATTCAGATTACCAACACACAAACAGAAAATGTCTCATATCGAGAATATTTAACATTGAACATGAGGAAAAATTAATTATTTTTAATAATATGTGGAAATCTCCACTTTTACCTGAAGACGGTCGCGAGAGTAGAAAATCGTGTCGTAAAATTGTGTAAAACAAAAGCATAATATTTTTTCTAAATAAATCCACATTACAACCAAAAACGTTTGCACCTCTCTTCTCTTCTTTTAATATACATACTTTTCTCTCGTTGGAACCACTACTTTATATTTATTTTATTTTATATATATATATATATATATATATATATATATATATATATATATATATATATGGTCAGAGATAAGTCAGACCAAGAAACAGTAGTATTAAAAGTGCTCAATACACTTGTAAAAAAAAAAAAACAAAGTAAAAATAACATGTAGAGCGTTTAACCTTAAAAATCAGAAGGTCAGTTAAATCCACTTTAGCTATACTTAAAACTAGGTACATTAAAGTTTATAACATTTTTTATAGATTATTTCTATTGCAAATGTAAAAAAAGTTAAAAATATTTTAAAGTGAACACGAACTTTATGGACACCCTGTATAAGCAGTGGCAAGATTTTCTGCATTTCGTAATCAAGGTTTTTTTTTTTTATCTGTAAAGCTCATGACCAGATTACTTTAAAGCACTGATTCTCGTAAGATCAGCGAAGTTAATCAACGTCGAGTCTAGTCGGTGGCTAGATAGGTGACCGTTTGGGTAAATGTAAGATTGGATGAGCAATGTGCAGTTAGTGTAACGGATGACGACGACTCGGGACAGGAAATAGGAGAGTCGAAGTCGGATTCATTACATTCGCGTGCGCGCAAATCCCCATAGGCAATCACGAATCGAAAAAGAGACGCGATCGTTTAAGTGTGTCACATCTGCCTCTACCAACACGCATTGGGTAGGGAAAACGATCATACTTCCTCCAAGAAAGGACCTTCACGTTATTTAATTTACAGTAAATGGCGTAATTTTCAGTTAACAGTATGAAAATAGCGTTCTCTAAATTCTTCCAGTTGCTAGGGACATTTTGTTTTTTGTTATTATGAGTTACTTTGTTTAATAAATTCATTTCGTTTTTGCCTTGGAAAAGTCCACATTGGACGAAACGCGTCGGCAACTATTACAGTTTTCCTATTGTCTTTTACACACACACACACGCACACACACACACACACACACACACACACACACACACACACACACACACACACACACACATATATATATTAAAGAAAAACAGACGATTTTAAGGTTCCATTATAATAACTTATTTCACCAGAGCCCTTTTAAATGACGCTGGATCATCAGATAGCACTTCCAAAAAATGAAACGATTACCAAGTTTTTCATAACTTAACTATTTAATATATTTGTATATATATATATATATATATATATATATATATATATATATATATATATTTCTTTTAAACGTTTCACCCCAAGCAAGGCGGGAAGCCAGTAGGACGCAAGGGGTTACAGAAAATTTGGAGCAAGATCAGATAGGAGTGATAGAAGAAAGGTAGTGGATAGATCAAGGCAACTGGAGATGTCGATTGACATTACATTGAATAGCTGGAGATTATAGCTCTCAGAGAAACTGGAATAGGGGAGGGAGTTCCACAGGCGAGAGGTGCGAGACATGAAGCTATTGGAGTGGAAGAGACGGCTACATTTAGGAGTTTCGACAGTGAAGGGGTGAGAGCGGGATGCCAGCCTCGTAGGGCGCTTGAACTCATGAAGTCTGGGAACCAGCGAATGCAGCTCCTCGGAGCAATTGTCAGGAAAGTATTTGTAAAACAGACAGAGAGAGGCGACGGCGCGTCTGTGAGAAAGTGATTGTAGACGAGATGCCAGATCAGGGCCAATTATATTGCATATCCGCCTCTGGAGCCTATCAAGAACCACGATATATATATATATATATATATATATATATATATATATATATATCCAGACATTTTTATGTTTATACATTCTTTTTATCTGTACAAATATTTAAGTAAATGCTCTGTTTATAATAAAGATTATTATACAACATTTACCGGCCTGAATATCTGCGAAATTTTCATACAAAATAATATTTTCATATTCGTCCTCCGACAGGAATCGTCATATAGCCTGACGTGCCTTTAACCGATTTGGCCACAGAGGAGCGTTCGTTTAGCAATGTCGAATTTACTGCCTTTAAACTTCAATCTTCCATGAATCTCTCACGTACATTCATATCTGCTCAAAGCGTATCCAAATGTAAACAAATGACGTCACACATTATAAAATGGACAAATTATTTTAAGACTTAAGTATTTGTATCTATAAAAAGAATGTATAAACATAAAAATGTCTTAAAATAATTGTCGGACTTTGTCCATTTCATAATATATATATATATATATATATATATATATATATATATATATATATATATTTGAATAAAAGACAGACCACGTTAAGATTCCATGTAATAAGCTATTTCACCATAACCCCTTTAACAGGGTTCTGGATCATCAGACTTTACTTCCAAAAGGTCTGTCTTTTATTCAAACATATCTGCTCTGAATTTTACATTGAGCTCTCTGGATATCATCCTCCTCAGGTCTACCCATACGGATTACCTAAATTTGCATAAACTATATATATATATATAATATATATATATATATATATATATATATATATATATATAAAATACAAATATAGATAACTATTCTCGTTTCGAAAAACCTTCGAATTTTTGATTTGCCAATAATCAAATCAATCTCGAGGGAAAAAAAGGTTTAAAAAAAAAAGAAAGAGCTAGAAACATGAAAGTCTGTCGAAAAAAATCGCACAGATACAGGTTTGAAGCCAAAAGAAAAAAACCCGACAAGAGTAAACAACTAACTAAAAAGAGCTCAGTACAACCGTAGAGCAGACCTAGATACACCTAGTGAGCCAGACAAACCTACACAGGTTTCACCTAAACGGATCATCAGAGAAAGCTGGCTCCTTTCCAGCTTTCCCTAATGATCCGCTTAGGTGAAACCTGGGTAGGTTTGTCTGGCTCACTAAATTCATATATATATATATATATATATATATATATATATATATATATATATATATGCCCTTTTTCCAATGGACATACAAACATACAATTTGGACCTTTTATCTCGTAGATATCTTCAACTTGGGATTGCTGCGGGGCCAGATTGTTTACATACAGTTTTAAACTGACCAAAGAGTTGGTGCTAATTAGGACGTCGATCGTCTAGAGTTGTTGGCAAGAAAAAGTTGAGGGGCCCTTCCTCTTGATTTTAGTAAGCCGTGGTATTTTCTTTCACGACTGGGTTGAAGAACAGAAAGCCGTGCTCTTGTCAGAAGAAGGAGAAGGTCTTATCTTGGATGAAAATGGTAGTTTTAGGAAATGAAGAATATTTACAAAAGTTGATATAGCTTAACACCTCTGGAGGGGTGTGTGTAGCGACTTGAAACCAAAGTGTGAATTCTCACACTTTTATCAGAGAATCGAACGTCGACTTAAGTTCAAGCGGGTGTGAATTGCGTGTGTGTTGATCAGCCATGTTTTTTTTATTTATGTCTCCTCTCAATTCTCCTGTCATTCTCTGCCTCCGTTCGCCAAAATGGTGTAGAGATGAGGACCTATCCACCCACGGCTTTTCTCGCAACCAGTCGATCACAAGAAGGGTATAAAAAGGGTTAATTTCATCTTGTTTGTTTTCATCCAGTCTTTAAATATTGTCAAACTCAAATGCTATCTGTATTCGAAATAATCACATATGATAAGCTTCTAAGCGAAAATAGACAAACAATGTTGTCAACTGGCAAATCATTTGAACAACAGATGTTTTTACAATCAAATTTCCTGGTAAAATTAGATTTCAACCAAAGATTCATACTTATAAAATTTTCTCTTCGAACTCGCTACTACCAAAACCCAGAAGCATAAATTACACTTCCCTAACAAACAAGTTACCTTATATATATATATATATATATATATATATATATATATATATATATATATATATATATAGTAATTAGTAGGAGGATTTGATAATTATATTTAATTAATTCATTGAGTCTGATAGAAACCTCAACAGAAATTGAGGAAGCACTGGACGGCCGTTTCGTCCTATAATTGGGACTCATCAGCAGTGCGCATCCACCACCAAGTATCGAAACCCTGACAGTTGGGTTGTCAAGCGAACAACATACCAAATGGGTAGTA